GTTTTGTTGCTGAGCTGGGGCTTTTGCAGGTCTGTGACATTCTGGGGGGCTGACCCAATGCCTGCCTTGCTGGCTCAGCACTTTTGGAAAGCCAGATCACCCGAACCTCCCAGCTGAGCTCTCCTGGAGAAACTGAGGCACCTGAGCACAAACTCCAGGAACAAGAATCCCAGACCCTAGGCTCATAGGGTGGTCAGGAGAATATAGGCAATGCCATGGCCAGGGGGGAAAAAAGTCTTATCTTTTGATATCTGTGGGATGCAAAAATGCCTTTGTGCACACCTGTAATGCTAGCACTCTGGGAGGCTGAGGTAGTAGGATCATAAGTTGGAATCTAGCCTAAGCAACTTAACAATTTATTGAGACTCTCAAAAACAAAAAACTTTAAAATGGGATAGGGATCCTCTGGGTTCAATCCCCACTGCCAGAAAAAAAGGCCTCTGCTGAGAGCATAGACTCCCATAAGTACCTCTACCCTCTTCCCCTCCTCTCTGGTTCTTCTTGCTTTGCACAAAGCAGCTGCCTGCAATCCTCCACTTGGGCTCCCTCAGTCCCTGTTTCTGATGCCCAGTAGACTGCAGGTAGGGACAGGGATTTAGCTTAGTGGTTCTGCTGCCTGTCTCACAAGTGCAAGGACCTGAGTTCGATCCCAGGTACCCCCCTCCAAAAAAAATGTGTAGGACTGTACTGCAGGTGGCCAGCAGGTGCCGTGACCATACTGTTATAACCAGTGTTTGATTCATTCTAACAAGGGTCATAGAAGCTCTAGGGGCACATTCTGGGAGGATGTGACCCAGAATGAGACTGCTAAGGAATTAGGTTGAACTGGAGTCTATTTTGAGGGGTAGGGTAGAAAGAGGACTATCATAGGGACTGCGATTATATGGCCCTGGGCAAGTGACTTGACCCCTCTGGATTTGGTAAGTGATGGCTTGTGTGAACCATTGAGCTCCCACATGCTCCCACGCTAGTGGTCCCAGGGAAAGGAGAGAGGGTGATTTCTGTAGAGCAGCTTATAAGGCTCAACAGGATTCCCCAATCCCTGGGCTGTCAGCATCAGTCAGTGCAGACCCAAACCAAATCTTCTCTGGCCTTCTCCCATGGCAGGTGTGATCTGTTAGGAAGCAGGACACAGGCTCCACACATATTCCAGGAAATAGAAAAGAAAGGGATACAGATGTTTGTTATATGCTGTTGGGGTAGAAGTAGAAGTGTTTGCTGAGGAGGAAGGGATGAGAGCCACAAGGGCATCCCAGAAGAGGGGGACCTTGTAGCCCCAGGATAGTGCCCAGGGTGGAGTGGATGCTCAGAAAACATTTGTTGAAGTTCCAGGAAGGGAAGTCTACTGCTTCATAGATAAAAGATGATGGCGATGTGATGGTGATGATAGCAACGTTTATTGAGCATCTTACTCATGCTAAGTGCTATTTTCTGAGTTTCTCATATACTCCTTAGTTTAATCCTGCAGCACTTTTATAGATACATATTACCTATTAGGGTCCCCATTATGCTGATGTTCAGTACAAACAGAGCCATAGATGAGTTAAGTCACTCACCCACAGTTAGCAAAGAGATGCAGAGGTGGAATGCAGACCCACACTGCCAGCTCTTCACAATCCTACCATGCTACCTGAAGGCTCTGGTGCCAGAACAGCCCTTCAGAGTATGAAAGCCATGAGCATCCTGACTGTCAGGACTGGAGACCTTGGTACAGCTTGGACAGGTGAGCCTCTGAGGCTCCCTCCTGCTGCCACCCTGAGTAGGCTTACCTCCCAGCTTCCTAGGTGAGACCCAGGGTTCCTACCCACGCCAGCTCCCTTTTCAGGGGTGAATCCTGTTCGCTCAGAAAGCCTCCCGGTCTACCCAGTTTAAAAACCAGGGACATCACCTCCAGCCTACATCCCTGGACCAAGACCAGTAAACCCTGCCAGAAGCTTGACTTCCAGGTACTGAGCATGGAGCAAGGAAGAGGAGAGCTGGTAAGGGGAGTTTCTGCCCTTGTCAATCCCAGCCTGTCCCAGTTCTGGGACTCTGGGATCCCCACCCTCAGTGCTCTAAGAGCGTTAAGCCCTGAAAACAGTCAGCTGCCTCAGCAGCAAAGAGCAAAAGTGAGTGTGCCTGCTCCCAAGGGGTCCTGCCTGCCCCACCCCACCCTGCCCGTCACTGGAACAGAAGGAGCCAGGAGCACCTACTTCGTGCAAAGTAAAGGGACACCAGGAACTTTCCTTGATGCATTGCCCTGGGGTTGTTACTCGGTGAGCCACAGTGGAGAGAAAAGCAGCCTCTACCTCAACGGGGACTCAGGGTTGGGGAGGGTCACACCTATCCAGGCACCTGAGTCCTTTCCAGTGCCCTCCCTGCTCCACCCTGGCTGCCATCAATGATCTCCCCTCCTGGCATTGACCTGACCCTGAAGGGTGAGATCACTGCTTTAAAGGCAGAAAATGTTAGCCTGTGTGCCAGTCCCTGCACCCTGCCTGCCCCCACACCCATGGGGGAATAAGAGCAAACTGGGCCTGAGAGCTTGGTGGCTGTGTGCCCCTGCAGGCCACCATGCCTGGCACCAATCCCAAGATGGCTCCCAGTGCCCACACCCCTTCCCCCAACTCTCACCTGTTGCCCAGGCCCTCCCAACTGGCTTTTCCAGTTTCTGGTTTTATGTGGTACAAGTTTCCCAATTATGCCCATGTTATCTCAGCCACTGAGCAGCGTCTAGCATGCTTGGGGAGTGAACACTTATTCTGTGGGGATGATGCAGGGCTTAAGTGCTTGCCAGCCAGCCATCAGCAAGAATACTGGGCCATCTGGCCCACTGATCTCACCATGGGTCTGCTTGTGGGGCAGGGCACAGGCTGTGCTGCCATCATAAGGTTAGGGCCAGAAGGGAGCCTTGAGACTGGAGAGTCTAGCCTGCTCCTCCTCAGAGGAGGGGAAAGACTCTGACCAGGGAAAGTGACTGGCAGAAGTCCCATAGCCTCTGACTATGGGTGGTACTTCTCCCATTCCCTCCCTCTAGGCCACAGTGCCTCTGCCTGAGAGGTGACAGGTGTGGTACTAGCATCCACAGATTGGCCAAGGGGCCAGCCAGAGTCCCCATGGCCCTTGAAGGGCTGTGTGATGGTGAATGGGTATTGGGGAATCTCTCAGGGTGGCAAGGGCTTGGCTTGGCATAGCCACAGACGTATTTCTTCAGCAAGCATTTCTTAAGTGTCTTCTATGTGCTGAGTGAGCACCAGGGATTCAACAGTCACTTGTACCCTCTAGAGGGGAAGAGCAGTAAACAATTTACATAATGACCTCTGGCTTTGGAGCCCTCAAGGGAACCCACACTGGCACTGCATCTCCATTATGTAAAGGAGGCAAGCAGTAGCCCCAACTTCCCACTCTTGGACCCCAGACTTCCTTAGGGGCCATCTTCTGCTTCTGGCTCAGTGCAGGTCTTAGCTTTGATGCCACTTAATAAATTGACTGAGTAAAAAGTGAAGGACATGCAGCAGAGTCACAGCTAGTGGAGACTTGACAGGCTAAGGCACCAGCATGCTGGAGTGCAGAGCCTCGGGTTGGGGATGGCTGCCCCACATTACAGGAGCTGAGCCAAGTTCAGGGATAAGGAGGTGCGAACAGAGGACATTCCAGATGGGATAAAACAATTGGTGGGGAAGCTGGGGGCAGGATTTATTCCTTTATCCCATGCTACCAATCACTCCCTCCTTGTAAATCTTTCCTCTCTTGTCTTCTGCTACAATTTGTCTGGCAAGAAATATCTCCCAACATCTACTGTATGCCAGATGCGGGGCTGGGCATGGGGGACACAAGGTGGAAGACAGACCCTGCCCTGGAGGAGTTCATAGTCAGGTGGAGAAGTCAGATGTATAAACAGTCAGTTCCAAGGCAGAAAGCTGTACCTGAGGTAGCCAGTTACCTCCTGCTGGGAGGGTCAGGGAAGTTTCCCAAAGGAGGTGACTTCAGCAGTTTTCCACAGATGAAGGGGACAGGCCGCCTCAATTGAGGAAAGTACATGGGTAAAAAGTGTTGCATGGGCAGCCTCTGCTCTTAGAGTGCTGGACTGAACTTCTCATCGTTATGACTCAAGTGCTACTAATACAGGCTGGCATATGGTCACTCAGCAAACAGTGCTTGAGTGACTGGGAGGAAGGAGAGAAGGACATATGGAACCATGCCATGTTTTGAGGAAGGCCTAGTCTGACTTGTTTGAAATACCCAGCTTATGGAGCAATGCAGACAAAAGGCGGGTGGTGATGATGTCAAAAGCCAACTTAAGGCATTTAGACTCACTTGTAAGGGCAACAGGAGCCAGTGGAGCCCTAGCCGTGGGCAGCACCTAAATTCTCTGGCTGGGTAAAAGGCTTTGAGTCAGAGCACCCCAGGGAATATGGACCCAGCTATGACTGAGGAGACCACTGTGGGCCCTCACACTTGAGCACAGCCTCTTATTTTCTGAGGTACTTTCTCGTCTGTCATACTGCTGGGTTCTCCTAGCAACCCTGTGAGGTAGAAAGGTCTAGATTATCCACTCCATTTATCAGATGAGGGAGCCAAGGCCCAGGAAGGTAAAGCAGCTCATGGCTTATGGCTGGGGCTCCACTTGGAAAGCAGGATGTTCTGCTTTCATCAAAAATGAGTGTAGATGTGTATTTGCTAACTTGGAGCAATATCGATAATACATCAGCAGGTGTAAAAGCAGCATATGGAATAATCTGTACGGTGTGATTCTGATTTTGTTAAAAAATATCTGGTTATATGGAGATAGATAGATAAGATAAAGATGGGTCCTATAAGATTATTAATGGTATTTATAAACAATGGGGTCATGAGATGTTGTCATTTTCTTCTCGATATTTTCAGTGTAACCCAGAGTGTTTCTGTAACAAGTAACTATTCGTTTTATAATTAAAGATTTAAGAATTAATGACTGCTCTGAAAAGACAAGAACAGAGCACAGGGAGCAGTGTGCGTGGTGGGGGAGGTAGTGCTTGGTACTGACCACTTCCTGCCATCCCCCGCCCAGATGCCCACACACAGGTGGTGCAGGTGAATGACTCCATGTATGGCTTCATCGGCACAGACGTGGTCCTGCACTGCAGCTTTGCCAACCCAACACCCACTGTGAAGATCACACAGGTCACATGGCAGAAGGCCACCAACGGCACCAAGCAAAACGTGGCCATCTACAACCCAGCCATGGGTGTCTCTGTGCTGGCTCCCTACCGCGAGCGTGTGCAGTTCTTGAGACCGTCCTTCACTGATGGCACCATCCGCCTCTCCCGCCTGGAGCTGGAGGATGAAGGTGTCTACATCTGCGAGTTTGCCACCTTCCCTACGGGCAACCGTGAGAGCCAGCTCAATCTCACTGTGATGGGTAAGCTGGCCCGGCCCCTCCTTCCTTGCTGTCCAGAGGCCAGTGACCTGGGGCCTGGCCATCCTTGGTGTGTTCCTCCATGGCCTCAAACAGTCTCCTTGGGTGGCCATGCTCCATAGCTCCAGGCTTGGCCCTGCCAGTCCCTTCCAGCCAGGCTGCCCCACCAGTCACTAGCGTTTGGGGACGGGGCCTTTGGTCCACACAGAGTTGAAGCTCAGCATTCAGGACATTTTGTGGGTGACCAATAAGCAGGGAGAAGCATCAGACACCATGGTAAGGAAAGGAGCATGAGCATTCCAAGACTCTAAGAAGACCTAAGTTTGATGAAGGAGATGCAGATAGTAGAGCAGGCAGGAAATATTAGACATGAAGATCTTCCCATGAGAAGTTCCAGGATGAGCCTTGAGGAAGCACAGCTGAGAGGTGGGGTGGCTCAGGTGGCCTGAAAGTCAGGCCTGGCAGCTGCTTGAGTAGCTTAACAAAGCCATAGGCCTGATCCCATGGTTCTGTCTGGTTCCTCACAGCCAAACCCACCAACTGGATAGAAGGTGCCCAGGCTATGCTTCAGGCCAAGAAGGGACAGGATGACAAGGTTCTGGTGGCCACCTGCACCTCAGCCAATGGGAAGCCTCCCAGTGTGGTGTCCTGGGAAACGCGGCTAAAAGGTGAAGCTGAGTACCAGGAGATCCGGAACCCCAATGGCACGGTGACCGTCATCAGCCGTTACCGCCTGGTGCCCAGCCGAGAAGCCCACCAGCAGTCCCTGGCCTGCATTGTCAACTACCACATGAACCGCTTCAAGGACAGCCTCACCCTCAACGTGCAATGTGAGCCAGGGCCGGGTGACAGAGGGCTGCCTTCCCACTGCAGCTCTCGACCCCTCCCTCTCCCGTGTATCTTCCTGGGGTACTGCGTGTGTCACCCACCCCCTCCCTCTGCTCTTAGTCCTTCCCTCTTCCTGTTCCCCTTGCATTTCTCCTCTGAGGCCTGTGTTACCACTCTCTCTCTCCCTCTTCCAGCTGCCCCATATCGCTGCTCCTTCCATCCCTTCCCTGTCCAGGGCTCCCTTGCCCTAAGTCTTGCTTTCCAACTCTCGTCCTATTTAAACATCATCCCTTGCCCCACAGATGAGCCTGAAGTGACCATTGAGGGGTTTGATGGCAATTGGTACCTGCAGCGGATGGATGTGAAGCTCACATGCAAAGCTGATGCTAATCCCCCAGCCACTGAGTACCACTGGACCACGTAAGTGCTGCCGGGCCAGCTAGCTGCCTGAGAGTGTACCTCACTGGATCACAGGATAGCCGACTATCTGACCTCCAGGAGCCTAAGCAGTGAAAAAATTAGGGTCTGGGCTCAGGTTTCTCCGTGAGAAGTGGGGAACCATACAACACAGCCCCCACGCACATGCGTAGATAGGTACCTCCATATTAGAGTGCCAGGGTCAGAAGAACAAAATATCCTGCCAGAGGGGGCTTTGTTCATGGTCTGCCTCCCTTCATTTCACTAATAAAGATTTTTTTTCATTTTCCTTTGGTGATTCAGCCTGAGTCACTCCTACCTCAGCCCCAGCATTTATTTTTATCGAGGCATCCCCAGGGAAGCTGGCATTCTAGGGTATCCCAGATCATTCTTTGTTCCTGTTCCTTCTCTCCAATGCTCTAGTACTCTCAGGGTGGGGACAGCCATCAGCCCAGAATGTCTGTGCTCATGGACCGTCCACCCTATGCCCATCACCCCATTCCTACTTTCACAGCGTTGGGCCTGCCTGGCTCTCAGAGAGACATGTCTCCCTCTAGCCAGCTCTAATGGCCTGGGCCTAGCTTTTTTTCCAAGAAAAAGCTGGATGGAACACACTGAGACAGGAGCATAGGGAAAGCCAAGAAGGCTAACATGGGTGGCCAGAATACAGCAGCTTAGATAGAGGCTATAGCCTTTTTCCAGAAATAGAGAACTCTGGTGTGCCCTACCTGTTACCCTCCACTTCTGGGTACAGAAAGTGCTTCTGAAGATATGAGTGGGCAGAGCCAGCTTGTAGACAGAGAAGCTGCTGGGTTAACTGAGTAGCAGCTTCATGGAATTAGGGATCAGGAGGAAGGAAGAAGGTCCTCTATCCTTGGCAAACTCCTAGGGTGCTCCCCATGTGAGAAAGTCCTGTGACATACCCAGCAAGAACAGAGGATTGGAAGAACACAGCAATTCTTATCTGAATATCTTCTTGGAATACAGATGTGTAGACCTCTGGGGACAGGACTCAGCGCTATTGTTAACCAGATGCCTGGAGACCAAGGACCCACAATCAGAAACCATGAACAATAGAAAGAGCACTCCCAGAAAGTGCCCTCGATCCAGGGTCCCGAGAGAGATCTGCTTAGAGTTCCCAATCTACCACTTCCTAACTATATTGCCTTGACCTTGAACCTCAGGTTCCATCTGTGAAGTGGGACTGGTACCCTCATACCGTGCATCCATGTCAGTGTTAGAATGTTCAGATATGAAATGCTGAATATTATAAAATTGCCATACACAAGAGATGATTATTGCCATTATGTTTCTTCCTTCCAAGACAAATTCTACCACATCCACTTAGCAAAAAGGCTCTTGGGCTTGGAGACAGGTGGGTAACTCAGGGGCAGCTTCTTGAGGCTGGAGAGTCATAACCCTATACCATGTCTCCCAATTCCCACAGGCTGAATGGTTCTCTCCCCAAGGGTGTGGAGCCCCAGAACAGAACCCTCTTCTTCAGGGGACCTATCACATATAGCTTGGCAGGGACCTATGTCTGTGAGGCCACCAACCCCATCGGCACCCGCTCAGGCCAAGTGGAGGTCAACATCACAGGTAGGAAGCTGGATCCACCCCTGCTATCCCCACGCTCAGGTTCCTCCACTACCTACATCTTCCATATTTGGGTTGTGTTATTACTGGAAGTTTGTGTCTTCTTTTCCTGCTTCAGTGGTTCTCTCTGGAGCTCTGGACATTGGTCTCACTAGCCTTTTCTCTTTGCTTTATTTAAGGTTGTATGGGGCAGTCAGAGTGACCTCCCAATCAGAGAGGGGCAAAAAAGGAGAGGAAGTTCTCTTTACAGCAGTGCTGTTTTAGAACGGTGGAGCCTGCCTGTGCATCTGCCAGCAGAAGGCATTGTTGGATGCTGGTATGGCAAGGGAAGTCTGTAGGGGGAGATCACTTCCTCTACTGTCAGCCCCTGCAGTTAGGAAACTTGTATGGCCCAGGGGGCAAGACTCACCTCAGACTCACCTCATGCAGGGGGTCTAGAGCAGCCATACAGCTCAAAGCCATGGGATTGTGTGTCCTGTACCTGAAGTCTAAACTGCTCTCTCTATCAATACAGATGAGGTGGGTCAGCTGCTTTGCCTCTCGGGGCAAAGGGGAAAAAAGGGCAAGGATATTCTGGGGGAGACTTCACAGGGCACAGGACCCTGAATAATCCTCATCTGTTACATGGGGATAATGCGATCTGCCTTGAAGGGAAGACTGATGTCAGAATGATCCATAATGTAGGTCACGTAACCTGTTACACATCAGTCTGTCACTAAATGGCCAGTGCTCTGTGATTATTATGTGACCCCTGTCCTTATCATTGCTGCTAATGGAAGCATCAAAGCAAGTCAATAGAGGAGTAAATTGCCACCAAACTTCACAAAATGGAGTGTCTTCAATATCATACCTGAGCTACTTACAGGGCGAGAAAGTGATAGAAAGAACCCTTAGAACAGATAGTCACATCACTGTGCTGCCAAAGTGGACAGGAAGTAACATCTTAGAAGGTGACCAAAGGCTTATAGGAAACTGGGTGCAGTTCCTGGGATCCAGGCATGGGGCTTGAAAGAGCCCACAGGCTTTGATGGCTCTGAGCCTCTGTGTCAGGAGTGTGAGGCCTTATTTGTGACCACATTCAAGGCGCACCTGCAAAATGGTCAGCCGAAGCTGCCCACTAGGTGCACCTATCCATCCTCAGGGCTCTTCTGTCACCTGTCACCTGGGAACAAGAGGGTGGCATCACCTGCTGTTTTCTTCAACTCCCTGTCAGGAATAAAGGCACCAGGGTTGGAGCCTGGGAAAAAATGAGGCAGCTCCCCTAGCTATGGTCTGGGGACTCCCACAGGTTGGCAAGTAGAAGGGTGCCAGGGTCCCTGCTTCCTGAAGCAAGTTTGAGCCACACTTAGATAGAGCCTCATAGGTGCCAAGCTCTGGCCTTGGAGCGATAGGGGCAAATGAGGAAGAGCAGGGCCCCTCCATGAGAAATTATAATAGGGATTGTGACCAACTCAGACCTACTGTGTGGTCTTGAGCAGGTTCTTCACTTCTCTGGACCTTGGCTTCCTAATCTGAAATGTGGAGATAACCTTGCTACTTATCTCAGGCTTCTTATTACCCTCAGCTCTCTCTGCATATGATACATTCCCTTCCTGGTGGCCCGCCAACACTGCCACCACATCCCCCTCTACCATCCCAGATCTCTGGGGAAGCTACTGATTGAGAAATCGTGAGGAAGCCAGGAAACCAATCGCAGTGTCCTCCCTCTGACCCTACTCCCCACCCAGCATGAGAGGCTGAGCCACTAAGCTAAGTGGTGTTCCCAGGCCCGGAGGCAGGGTGAACAGAAGAGTTGCAAGCTACCTTCTCTCAAAGCCCAAGAATAAGCAGAAGACCATGAGTGCAGAGCTTCTCCTCAGGGACGCAGGGAGGGTGAGGAAGGAGAGAGCCCACTCTGAGACTGCTGTCCTGGTTCCTGGTGCCTGCTGTGGCATGATCGGTCAGGCCTGTGGAGGTCATTGCACTATGGTGTCAGCTGGAGGCCAGATGGGCCAGGCCCACCCGGGATTCCAGCTGAAGAGGAATGCAACAGGGCTTGTTGTTGACAGCCTGTTAGGCAGGAGCCAGGGAAGCATCGTTGTCACTGAATTGTTGAGGTTCAGGTGCTGTTGACCAGCCCCCTCCATAGGATTCAACCAGGAGGCTGGAGCCTTTTGGGGGGCTGTTTATTCTGCTCTTACAATTGGCGAGGAACAGATGACCTCACCCTCAGAAACCCACATCAACCACTAGCCTCCGCATGGTAGGGTTGGGGGTGACCCCCACAGGGCATGTGCTCCAGTCCCCACTGGTCTGCAGGGAATGCATGAGTGAGAAGGATAAATGGAAATTTAATTTTTCATGCTGACCATTCGTTCAGGTAATAGCTTTGCCCTGGGCACATCTGGAGAGGGGAATAAAAAGAAGCTGGGGCGGGGCAGGAGAGTGAGCTGCTCAGGGCACACCCAGAGACACAGGTATACTGGTACTCATACACTAGGTTGTAGAGGAGCAACAGCCTGGTAGAGGTCAGGGTGCCCAAGAGGGGTGCACAGGAAAGGCAAATGGCCGGAGTGAGTGGGGGGCAGTTGGCTCTGAGTGGCTCACAGAGAGGCAGTGTTTCCAGGATTGTAGATTACACTTGAGTGTTTAGGAGGCTTTGTAGTGGTCTGGGGACCCATTTAGGGGCCATCATAGTAAGTAACTCTCTAATGCAAAATAACAGGCCAGGCTGTGGCTGTGGGGATGAGAGAATGGAGGTGAACCCAAGGTGGTTTGTTTATACAAAGCCCATTTCAGAGGCCCTTGTACTGAGGAGCAATTCAGACCACCAGTGGAGTTCCCCTCCCTCCCTTGTTCTTCCTGGGGTGACCCTAAGGTAGGGAGCAGTCAAGAAACGGCCTTGACCAGACAAAGAGACCAAGTGGGCATCATCTATCCCTACGAGTATAGAAGAGTAGCTAGGCCTCTTGCCACTCCCCAGCACAGGACAGGGAAGCCATTAGGGTATATGGTGTCTATCCCAACTCTTTCTGTCAATCAAATCTGGGCTCATCCCTTAAGGCTGCAGTGACAGGGTCTGCCCACCAGAGCAGAGGGCTTCAGATCCAGGATGACAGACCTGCAAGGCCAGGTCTCTCCGCCTCAGCATGAATATGGATGTGTTGCTCTGTGAGTGTGTAGATGTGAGCCCATGTGAGCAGGCAAGCCATGGTGTACCTCTTGAGTGTGCAGTGTGAGCCATGTCTGTGCCATGAGCAAATGTGCCCTTCTCCAAGCTTGCAAACGGTAGTGTGTCCAGGAGTCTGAGAATGCAGCTATATCCACGCCTCTGGGAGGATCCGCTTCCCCTCAGCTCACTGAAGTACTGTCCAATGGCCTGATACAATGCATAGCTGCTGCAGCTGCAGGACAACAAGGCTTCCCAGCATGTGACCCTATGCCACCACTCTCCCTGTGGCCAGTTCTGCATGCTGAGAGATGAAGTTCTCACAGCCTCTCACCCTAATCAGATGCCAGAGCATTTCCTGCCCAAGGAACCATCTAGCATTGGCTTTAGAAATAAGCCCAAATATTCTCTTTGACCCCAGACCCCCTCCAGATCCAGATCTAGAAAGTTTTGTTGTTGTTGTTGTTGTTGTTGTTTTGTTTTGTTTTTCCAATACTGGGGTTTGAACTCATAGCTTCACACTAGCTATATTCCCACACTTTCCTTTTGAGACAAGATCTTGGTAAGTTGCTCAGGTTGACCTTGAATTTACAATCCTCCTATCTTCAACCTCCCAATTATCTGAGATTACAGGCTTGTACCACCATATCCAGCCCTAGATCCAGACTTTAAACCCTAACCTCACTGTATCTCAGATCTATTGAAAGCCCTCCACACTAGCCCACCTACCTTAGTCAGGGAATCAGGGCCCCAGAGTAATGCAGAGCCCTGTTGCCCTGTGGTCCTGACCAGCTTGGGATACCAGAGGGGAGGCTGTAACCCTTCAGAAATGAACCCAAGCTTTCCCTTTCTACGAGGATTCAAGGGAGGCTGAGTCCCTGCCAGCAAGCACAAATGGCCCTGCTGCTCAGCTCTTCTCTCTGTTCCCACCTGCAGTAGAGCCTTGTGGCTCTACTCCTGGCACAGAGACAAGAGCTACTGGCTGAATGTGACAGCTGGAGGGACGGGGAGGGGGGTGCTGCACTCTGCACCAAAACCCCTTCTGCCTGCACATGAATCAAGTCCCTGCGCCTGCTCCCATCTTCTGCCCTCTCACTAGCACCACCTTCACTCTGAACTCTGCAATGCTGGGTGTCATCTTAGCCATTCCTCAGCCTCTACAAAGGCCTGACCCTGAAGTAGCCAAAATAACTAGGGTTCCCTTTGGTTCCAAAAGATTCCCTAGGGAAAAATAAACTTCCTTAGAATGTAGGGAGATAAAAGTTAAGCACAGGGCCTGACAGGGAAAGAAACCCAGTATAATCTGGCCCCAGCCACCACTCCATTCCACCTATGCCCCACTCCAGTGAAACAAGGTCCCCATGTGTCCCATCCCTGATTGGAGGGTCTCCTGAGTACTTGATTTTCCTAGAGCTAGGCTCACCTCTAGATATAACCCTGCCATGAGAGAATTTACTCTTTCATTCAACAAATATGTCTTGAACTCCAGCCATGTGCCAGGCAATCTAGCACTTGGGTTACATCAGTGAGCAAAATAGACCAAATCCCTGTCCTTGTTTGTAGGAATTCTAAAGGTAAAATGAAAGGAGGAATCGAGTAAAGAGATCATAAGTGCTACAGGAAGGGGGGAGGTTCATATGCTACAATTTTAAGTAGATTATTCCAGAAAGACCTCATGAGAAAGTGAAATTTGAGCCACACCCTGAAGGGCATGATGATATGGACTGGGGATCCCTGGGCAAGGGCCCTCCAGGGTGAGGGTAGCCAGTGCAAAAACCCTGAGCATGGAGGGTGTCAAGAATGGGATGAGCCTGAAAGAAAATAAGACAATGGTGACAGAAATTGGTGTGGAGCACAGATCACACAAAGTATTCTAGCACTCTAAGCTCTGCAGATTTAGGCTTTTACTGTGAGTGAATCAGAGCCATTGAAGAGCTCTAGGCAGAGAAGTGGTGTGATGTAATTACACTTTAGTATGATTGCTCTGGCCATATTGAAAGTAGCCTACGGAGGGAGAAGGTGGGATCAGAAAAGCACGTAGGTGGCTACTGCAATAAATTATCCATGCAAGAGATAATAGTGTCTTAGATCAGATTGGTCATCAGGGATGGTAAGAAGTGCTTGGGTTCTAAATGTACTTTGAATTATAATTTACAAATTAGTTTGAGAAACCAACCATTTTCATGAAGCAGAAAATATGGTAAACCCCACCATACTGTGATTAATGTGATCAAAAAATTCAGTCTAGTCAAGTAAAACATGGGAGCTTTATTTTTCAGTGGGCCAATCAAAGAAAACACAAAAATACCTACAGGGAATTTAATGCTGTATACACCGACACATAAAAATGAATCAATACCAGATTATGAGGTTGTCACTTCCAACAAACCTGCACCTTGTTCCAGCAAAAGAGGACAACTTTAGTCATTTAGAAACTGCCAAAATAAGCAGAGCCAATGATGGTTAATCCTAATTTGCATGTACTTACAATTTGTATCTTAATTTGTGCTTAATTAAATAGGATCAGCAGTTGTTTAAAGCAGAATGAGAGGTGCAGACCATTAGTATATCAAAAATTCTACAGACAAAAAGTATAAGCTAGAGAAGAGAAGGCTACATAAAGAAGGGGTCTGAGGACTTGTGCAGTAGGCAGAGAGTAAGGAAAGGTGATTTTTCACAGAGTACACAGAACAAGCAAAGGCTTGCGATAAGGAACCCTCTTGTAGGCAAGGATAGTGTGATAGTCATCTGTTACTATAACAAAATACCTGAGATAATCAACTCAAAAAGAGGCAAAGTTTGTTCTTCAGAAGTTCTAGTTCATGGTCTTTTGGGCCTAAGGCAAGGTAGTATACCATAAAGAATGTGTGGCACAGGAGGCTACTTAAATGGCAGTCAGGAAGCAAAAAGATACAAGAAGAGGCCAGGGCCTCAATATTTCCTTTAAGAACAAAGTCCCAGTAACATAACTTCCTCCCACTGGGCACCAACTCTGAAGGGCCTACCACCACCCAGTTGCGCTACAAGCTGGAGACCAAGTCTTCTTTCTACACATGGGCCTTTGGGGGACATTTGTCCAAACCATGGCACATATACAAATCATGGCAAATGGCATGGAAGGCAAGCTAGTCAATCCCAGAATGAAACTGTATGTTGGAATCTTGAAGGGCTGACTGCATGGCAGTAGGGGAGTCATTGCTGGTCTTTGAGAAAAGGAGAGTAAAAATGAACCTGGTGTCTATGGATGAGGCAGTGAAAGGGGGCAGAGGCCCAGGTGAAGGTATGACATCCAGGATCTACAGCAGGAAAACCTGGCACAGAGTGGTAAGATAATGGACAGGAAGAATCAACAGTATTTGATGGCAGATTTTGACCCAAAAAATTAAAAAAGAAGAGTCAAAGATGAATGAGCTTCTGGGCAAGAAGTAGACAAAGTATGGTGGCAGTGGAGGACCCAGGGAAGATGTGCTAGATAGAAAGGACAAACTATATTGGAACAGGTGGGTTTTGAGTCAATGGTGAGAATTCCAAATAAGGTTGTACTAGAAGGCAGTTTTTCAAATGTGTACCCCTAAATATGAGTTCTTCCTTGGTAGGAAGTTGGAAAACACTCCATCCTACCTGTTTCTCTTATAATTCAATGCACATGAGAATGAGAAAGGCTCTGATGTCTAAGCCAGTGTTTCCCGGTGTTTGATCCTAGCTGTTTCCTAACCCTCTGAGCCAGTAGTGTAAGGTTCCCTGGGCATTGTTTGGGAATTCTGCTTCAGAGCCCTTAGGAGATAAAAGTTCTTGGTCTGGGGATTTAGCTCAGTTTTGCCACTGCCTACCTCACAAGTGCAAGGTCCTGAGTTCAATCCCTGGTACCAAAAAAAAAAAAGTTCCTGAAGTTGGGTGAAACTGTGTCCCTGAAATGGTTTGGATAGCTGGAAGAACAAAGGTAAAAACCATGAACTGATTCAGGTCTGTCACTGGGAAAGAAAGCAGAGGGTAAGGGCTAAAAAGCCAAGGGCAGAGCTTCCAGTGAGACAGTGGGAGCAGAGAGAAGGGCTAGCAATGAATCTTAAGACCAAATGCCCACAGGAGATCGAGAGGATCAAAGGATCAAAGAGTCTTCATACTGGAAGGCAGGGGGCACATTTTAGAAACAACAGGCAAGTCCCTCCATCTGGATGCCTTGCTTATTCTCTTGGCCTCCCAAGTCCACCCCATCCTTCAAGGTAGGCAAAGCCCAGCCTTCTCCAAGATCCTTTTCCAACTCCACACCACAGCATTCTCACTCCCCTACACTCCTGAGCCTTCCCTTGATGTCTGCTCACTGCTGTGACTCTAAGCATGTCTTCTGGTTCTCTAGCAAGTCTGGGTTTCTTACATTCCATGACTAGCAAGATTTAGAACATGTTTGCTAATTAAATGGAAGAGTAAAGAAATGAGGGCAGGTGAGACAGAGACCGCTGAGATCTGCTGAGCACTGAAGAGGGAGCAAGTGGGTTGAAAGCACAGATGAGGCCAAGTTCCTCCCTGCTGCCCCTTTGGCACTCCTTGTGGAATGTCTCAAGGGAGCAGGTGGGGGGCGGGGGCTTGTAAGGGCTGTAAAAAGATGGACCTGGTATGACTAGAGGAGCCTGAGGTTGCAGGAGACTGTCCCAGAGAGGAAGTCAGGACAGACATTCAGTAAATATTTATGGGCAGCTCCTTAGTGACCTGCCCAGAGGACAGTTGTGACAAGTGAGGCAGCCAGTCTTTCCACTAGCTCCAGGCACAGGAGTGTCTAAGTGGCCCTAGCTCAGCCATGTGACCTTGGGCAAATGGCCTCCCCTTCTCTGGGCCCCCTGTTTTTCTGAGCCTTTCCAGCATGAGCCATAAGAAGGCCTTTCCTCTTCCCAGAATCTCCACCCTCAGACATCACCCCACCCAGGGGAGGGGGAGGGCCTTGAGGGAGGAACGTGATTCCCCTGCACTCCTCAGAGAGTGAGGTGGTGGCAGCAGACTCCCAAGGGCTGCACCATAGGCCCAGACAGACCCTTCACCCTGGCCTGAAGCAGGGAGGAGCACTGCCCTGTCAGCCCCCTGGTTTGCCCTGGGCCTTCCCGGCCCTGACCAAGCCCAGCCATGGTCTCCGGTGCCACCCTGTGGTGGTGCTGGGAACCGCCTCACTGAGCCTCACCCTGGGACCTCTGTGGCCTCTGGCCTGCCCTGACTTCATGCACCTTCCCAGGCTCTGTAAGGAAACACTGAGCTGCATGGCACAGAGAACAATTTCGTGGTCTGGCCCAGGTGCCATAAAAGCCAACGGACTTTTCTACCTTTCCACCCTATTCTGCTGTTGTTCATTTCCCCTTTACTCCTTTCCCATCTCCCAATGACCTCAGGGTGTACATATCTGAACAAACATCATTATGCCGGCACAAGTGTGTGCACATGCTTGCTCCTGTGTACTGATCTTTGCTGCATACACATGTGCCTTCACTCCCATTTCTGTTTGGCTCTGTACCCTGCCAGCCCCACAGGATGTGACCACAGCCAAGAGCCACAGCCCTTGTTTCTGGCACTCTGATGGCTGATTGGCACTTGCAGGGCACCTACCAGCCAAAGCTTAGGAACTCATTTCCCCTGTGTCCTGAGGGCAGATGCAGAGCACCTAGTCTGTTCCAGGCTCTGAGTTGCTATAGTCAGGAGGATGTTGGGGCACAGTGTTGTATGGGGCAGGGAGGGCATTGGTGGCATTGACACGGGCAATGCTGTATCATTAGCTAGTTGGCCTCGAGCAAGTTACCTCCTTAAATCCTACCCCACCCATGTGCTAAACAAAAATGAGTAGCATTCCTACCTCACAGAGTTGTGACAGTGAAGAGCGCCTAGCAGATCCCTGCCCACGCTAGTGCACAAGAGGCCCTTCCTCACCAAGAGTTGGAGTAGGGCTGGGGAGGGGGCGCCACATCCAAAGATGATCAAGATGGAAGACCCTGTCATTGTGGATACTATCTTCTGCCTCTCCTCTTGCTGTCTCACTCCAACTAACAACTCTGGGGCAGGCTGGGCTCCCGGAGGGGTGGGGTCACCAGGGGGAACCCGAGCTCCTCAAATCTAGGTGTGGACATCCTGGACCAGCCTTTCCTCCCCATCTCCCTACCCTCCCCCACCCGTGCTGATTCCCAAGGAGCACACGCTGACACTGTCCCTCCGTCTCTTTTCCTTACCCAGAATTCCCCTACACCCCATCTCCTCCCGAACATGGGCGGCGCGCAGGGCCAGTGCCCACGGCCATCATTGGGGGCGTGGCAGGGAGCGTCCTGCTGGTCCTGATTGTGGTTGGCGCTATTGTGGTGGCTTTGCGCCGGCGCCGGCACACCTTCAAGGGTGACTACAGTACCAAGAAGCACGTGTATGGCAACGGCTACAGCAAGGCAGGCATCCCTCAGCACCATCCACCCATGGCACAGAACCTGCAGTACCCGGATGACTCAGATGATGAGAAGAAGGCCGGCCCACTGGGCGGTAGCAGCTATGAGGAGGAAGAGGAGGAGGAGGGTGGGAGTGAGCGCAAGGTGGGCGGACCCCACCCCAAATATGATGAGGAGGCCAAGCGGCCCTACTTCACAGTGGATGAGGCTGAGGCCAGTCAGGACGGCTATGGGGACCGGACTCTACGCTACCAGTATGACCCTGAGCAACTGGACTTGGCTGAGAACATGGTTTCTCAAAACGACGGGTCTTTCATTTCCAAGAAGGAGTGGTACGTGTAGCCCTACTCTGGGACCTCTGTCTATGCCCACATCTCCTGGCCCCTACCCGCACGACCCCTTCCCGCCCCACCACTGGCTCCTCCAGGAGCTGAACAAGAGACTCACCCCACTTCCCAAAGCCAGCCCTGAACTCCTGGGAAGCCAGGGGAGTGCAGACCAGGCCCAACTTGGCTTTGTTTTTATTTCCTCCCTCTCCCAGCCCTCCCCTATGGTGTTGTGTTCAACTGTGGCTTCAGTGTTGCTGTACCTTTCCTTCGATGACCCACAGCCCTTTGTGTAGGGAGCCCTGTTCTTGTCTTGTGTACCTGGGCATCCCTCCAGGGTTTGGGAAGCCAGCCCTCCCCGGCCCCCCAACACTGGAATTTGTTTGTGTTCCCTTCATTGGGGGTGGAGCCCTAAGGGGCTCCAAGAAGAAGAGCCCCCCACCCCCACCCCACCACCCAATGCTGGTCCTCTTTCCAGAGAGAGGGAATCCAACACCCCCACCATAAGCTAACACAGCTGGGGTTCGGGGCCTCAGTCTAGACAGCTGGTGCGACCAAGCGGTAGGGGTGGAGTGTGGCTTCTCCAGAGCACCCAGGGGAGTCTTGTTGGTTAAGTGATCCTGTTGAGGTTACCACCTGGACCTTCGGCAGTGTGCTTTCCTGGTGAAGGTGGTTTTCCATTTTTTTCCTCATTGGTTTACAGAGTCAGTTGACCCAGCTCTGGTGCATTCCTCCCCTCTACCCCAGTCTGCTCCCCAAATAAGGGAGGACCCCAGGTGGACTTTGCCCACACAGGCACACACACACATGCACACACACCACTCAGTTGATACCTGCTCTCCCCCAGGGATCACATGCCCTGCCCAGGCTGGACTCTGCCCAAGACCTGTCCCTCTCTGTTCCACCTCTTTCCCCTCCCCAGCTAGGGATGGCAGCAGCCTGTGGAAGCAAGGACGGAGCTGCCTTGATGCCACCACTCCAGTGTTTCAGGCAGGCACAACCTCTCCTTACAGCATGGGAGTTTCTCAGATTTCTCCCTTATCTGTCAAGTGCTAGCAACACTTGATTCTCTTGGAAAGTCAGGGCTGGGATCCCAGAAGTACCTCCAGGAGTTAAAGGCAAAGCAGTATTTATGTGGAGAAGGAATCCTGCGTGGGAGAAGCTGTGCAAACACAGTCTGGTAGACAGGGACAGCTAGCACCTCACACATGAAGGCCAACTTAGACATCGCAGGCCTCACAAAATATGCAAGGATAGTGGGGCAGCCAGGGAGCCCACTGCTCACCCACTCTCTTCTTCATGCACAGCTTCCCCCAGTGCCTGCTCTGGGATGCAAGCCCCTCCTTTGAGTGTAGATTTCTTCCTTGAGCAGGACTCTGGGTTCCCCTCGGTCATCCCAGACTGGGCCTTCCCATGGACATAGTGGAGGAAGGCCCCCTCCCAGCCCTCTCCATCTCCCAGCTCAAAGTGCCTCAGTTTCTCCATCTGCCCCCAGGTCCCCTGGCACTCCAAAAGACATGCCCATGGGAAAGACCCTGGGATAACCGGGGCAGGCTGGCTCCAAGGGCCCTTAGGCCGGCCTCTTAAGATCTCAGCTCACTCAGCCCAGGGTGCTCTGTAGGATGGCAAGTGTTAGGGGGAGGGAGGCAGACCACTTTGTGCCCCACGGGCACTGACCCACCCTGCCATAGGCTTCCTAAAGGAGCCCTTCCAGCCCCCTTCTACTCCCTCCCTGGTGCTGCTATTGAACCCCACCGAAGCTCCATCTCTGCCCAGCTGGGCCACCCTCATCAGCCCTCACTGCCCTAACCCCAGCCCAGGCCGCCCAGTAGCCACGTAGCAGAAGTCTGAAGCCATGTCAGCCCTGGGGCAGCGCTCCCCTCTCGGCATTGGGGCCGCTGGATGAGCTGGAATTGGGGGAGAAAAATTATAGGATCGTTTTAGACACAGGACAGAGGGAGGTGGAGGAGCTGGGCTACTTCTCCCACAGTACTAGTGTCCCCCAGCAGGGAACCTTTCCCATGTTACAACACATTCCATCCCTCCTCCTCATGCCAGTCTGGCCTCTCTCCTTGGTCCCCTTACCCCCAGGCAGGAGGCAAGGCAAGGGGTCTGCCTGATAGAGTCATTTTCTGTCCCCATGGAACCCAAGGCAGGAAGGATTCATTCTCCAGCATCTCCCCTGCACTGCCACCAACTGTCCCTCATTTTGTGACAGACTGAGGAGGTTCTGGGCCCAGCCAAAGCACTTAGCCCCCCATGTGATACCTCCATGCCTTTCACTTAAGCAAAGCACAAATTGTGGGGTCCATACAGCATAGGTCAGGAGCCCAGCCACAGCATGCCCACCAGGCAGCTGCTACCCTGGGTGAAGAGTGGGCATGAGGCAGGGATCAGCACTTGGCCTGGGGAGATGGGGTTTTCTGTGCCCCATGTTTGTGCGACAGTAGGCATTGATACTGGGCCATAGACAGCTAGCTGGCAAATGGAGGTCCAGCCCAGCAGGGATAGGAGGACATTTTGCTTCTCCTTCATGCCCCTAGCAGGAGCTGAGGTGCTTTGCTGAAAATAAAATCAACTTGGTATTAATTGTGCCAAGGCCTCCCCAGTTGTCATCTGCCTCTTATTGCTCCCTCTGTCCTTGCCTCCTACTCCCACTGCCCCTACACCCATGTCTCCTTGCAGATTTTGGTGTCATTCTAATGTGCAACGACCATCCAAGTCCCCTTTTACTAGAGGAACTGAAAAGCAGCAGCACACAATCAGTGAACACAAGGCTGCAAGTGCAGCCACCTCAGGCCCAGCACATGTGCACATGGCAAGCACACATACCTTCCACAGACCCAAGCACGGGTGTGTGTGTGTGCATGTATGCACACTCATGCCCAGATGGGTGCTCAGCACAGACAGGCAGACATGGCAGAGGAATGGGTATATCCTGCTGGAAGCCTTTAAGGAAAAGTGGTGACTTCTCAGTGCTCAGGCCTGAAAGAGACCCACAGGGGCCCCAGTTACCCGTCCAACTTTTCTGCCATCCCAAGGCAGAAGAATCGCTACTCGTGTCAGGTGAATGATACAGCCTGGCAGAAACCTGGTGTTCCTCTCCAGGAAGAAAGGGGTGCTCCCAGGCCCTGGTGGTCCAGTTGAAGACACTCCCCCCAGGCCTGACTGCCAACAGAAACCCTCTTCTACTGAGGGGCAGGTGAGATGTCCTGGAGGCCAGGGCTCTGGGCCGTGCTGCTGCTGCCATTGCTGCTGCTCTTCTGACCCTGCTGTGAGGAATGGCCTTGTTGGTCAGGAAAAATGGCATTCCTTTTTTTGTACAAACGGAAACAAAATCCAAGAGAAGCTGCCACCCTCACCTCTGAGCGTGACTTGCTTCCTTTGCTTCAGTTTCTTCGTCATTGTTTTCGTCTTCAGTCCTGGGGACAGCCCAGCAGATTCTCCTGGTTCTGACCTAAGGGGTGTTTGGATCACCTCCTTTTACTTGTATAAAAAAAAAGATGGGTTGAAAAATGTACTGAGGAAGAAAAATGTACTTTTTTATAAATAAAGTGTTTAACACAAACCTTTCTGCCTTGTGTCATTGTAGTGGGGCAGGGATGGGGTAAAGCTGGAGAAGGTGGCATGGCAAGAGAATAGGGGAGAAGATGGGAGACTCCACCCCAGGCCCAGAACCCATAGCCTATGACAGGTCCCAACCCACCATCTTGCAGGAGTCCCCAAGGAGGGGACTGTGGTGGGGCCATTTCCCACATAAGGAGGAAGACCTTGGACAGTGAGTCTCGCACAACATGGGGAGGGGTTGGTGTCTGCTAGCACAGTAAGGGCCCTTCCAGAGGGAGGCCTGAGAAGCCTTTAAGGAGAAACAGTGCTTTCTAGTGCCCCCCTGGCTGTCCCCAGAGCTCCTGAGCTCCACTCACCTGCCTCACCCTTCCTGTCTCCACTCCCTGCTGTCCTCCTTCCTGCCAAGTCCCCTCCTGTGGCTCTCTGGAGAAGAAAACCAGCAGTGTCACACCTGCTGTGTTAGATCCCTGGGGACAGAAAAAAGAAGGGAGCTGTGTCCTTTTATCTTCTATTCTGAGGATGTTACCCAACCCAGCTCTCCCTGAAACCCAGCTGCCACCCCACCCCCTATTTCTCTCCGTGGGGCTGGCTGCAGGGAAGGTCTTGTTCCTTGGCCACCTCCCCCTCCCCACACCAGTACCATCTGCTTCCCATCTCCTGGGCTGGAATGCAGGACAAATCAATCCTAGGGATGGGAAAGGCAGGGTCTTCAGGGTCTTCCCCCTCCCATCCAGCCCCAGTAGCATCTCTTTTCACTGAAATCCACACCACAGGCCCCTGGGAGAAAGAGTAGGGTCAATAGAAAGAAAGGTATCTACTAAGCAGAAAGCCCTCCTGCCCTTTTGTGGGCAAGGCCACGTTCTCCACACCTAGGATTGGAGCAAGATGGACAGACAGAATCAGGCATGGAGAAGAATCGGCAGCTGTTGGCAGCTGGCTGAGCCCCTCACTGGAAGGCCAAACCCAGCACCCTGGACCGGCTGTTTAGATGTTGATATTCGAATGAAATGCAAATTGGTTGTTTAAGCGGTCACTTCCTCACTTTTCTAGGCTGTCCATTTAAGTTAATTTTTAATTTGTGCAGGCAATAAATGCTTAATTACATTATTAATATATTGGAAGAGAGCAGTGGACAGAACGTCCTAATTGGCATTTAACTAGAGCGTTCCGGCAAATTAGCCAAGACTTTCTCCGGCAGCAAGGGAAGGAGAGTGAGCCAATTAGTCCTAGGAACAGCCTCTGCAGCCAGAGCTCCATTTAGAAAAGCCAGGCCCAACCCCTTCCCCAAGCCTCTGTGCCCAGAGTCCCAGGCTCCCTCAGACTAAGGACACCAGACACTTTCTCGCATTTAGTTCAATCAGATTTAGGATGAAATTTCTGCTACTTCATGAAAGGCTCCTCCTGCCAAACCTCAGCTTTTTACCCAGTTGCCACACCTCCACTCTCATCAGAGAAGTCCAAAGCTGGATGGCCTGGAAGCCGCCCCTGCTTGAGTGGCTAAGGTCCCCTTACGATGTGCCTGCCATTGTCCTGTCCTGACCTGTGGGCCTGGACTTGGATACCTGACATCTCTCTAGAACCCATGGAGGCCTCTCTCCATTCCCCCTGCCAACCTGATCCTGGCTGCAGATTGTTATGGCGATGAACTTGGTGAATTGAGGGATTCATTTATTTATTTTATGAACTCATGTGTTCATTCATTTAGATCGCATATTTTTTGATCACCCTGAGCCAAGCACTGTGCTCTACTGTAATAATGCCTGCTCAAAGAATTCAGAGCCTCCAAGTTCCCCTCTTCCAGAACAGCCTATGCATGCTGACCACAGGCAACAGTAGAGCCATGTGTAAAGCAATGTGGTAACAGGACAGGACATGAGAATTTTGTTTGAGAGGGCCTGAGGTGACATTTCACCTAGGTCTTGAAGGAGTTGTAAGAGTTCTCCAGACATATGCAGATTGAGAATATTCCAGGGAGGCTTGAGAATTTAGCATCTTATATTACATGTTCTAAAAGTGACCATCCTAGCCGAACATACTCACTCTGCTCATGGAAAGGTGAAGTCAAAAGAGGAAGCTGAAGTTTGGCCCATCCACACCATCAGAAAGCACACACTGAACATGTTCAAGGGCAAGGGTGTCTCAAGAGCAGTAGGAGGCCAGAGGCACCCAGGGGTAGGTGGCATCAGCCTAACTCCTGGAGTAGTCAGAGATACTAGATCTGGCACAAGTTTCTGGTCTCCAACAAAACAGACCCCAGTGAGATAGAGATTGCACTTGTAGGAATGACATTTGGTGTTACTGGAAATTATCAGTCAGATCAGGCTCATCTTTAAAGACTTCCCAGAAAAGATGGTATCTCAGATGATTTGAAAGAAGGGAAGGATATAGATGTTAGAATGTTGGGAGGAGAAAAGTCCCCCGAAGGCTTGTGGGGAGCAACAGCTGGGCCCTGCTTCTACAAACACCTCCACATTGCCTCCAAGGCCAGGAGCTTCTGGGCAGCAGTCCTTGGGCTCTGCTTTTGTGTTGGCTTCTGAGGTCCCCAAACCCTATTTTCTTTGCTCATTTATAGGCTTGTTGGCAAAGCCAGACAAATCCTCCTCTAAGGGGGCTGCTGTCCCACTTCACATCTCTATCACCAACTCCCAGATAAGAGCTGGAGGCATGGCCTCTCCCTCCCTCCCTACTGCCAACCATGCCTCCTCTAGCAAATACACATCTCTCCCACTCTCTCTCTCTATCTCTCTCTCTCTCTCTCTCTCTCTCTCTCTCACACACACACACACACACACACACACACACAAATGCACATGTTAGACTCTGGGTCCTCATCTAAGATGACCCCTCTGGTGCCATTGCATCCAAGGTCATCTTGACCCCCATACTAGGAAGGCACAGAGATAGCTGTGCTTATCTTAAGAACCAGTACCAGACATCATCAATGAACATTTCTGGTTCCAAAGAGCAGAAAGAATTTAACCAGGACATATACCAACACATGTTAGACTCTGGGTCCTCATCTAAGATGACCCCTCTGGTGCCATTGCATCCAAGGTCATCTTGACCCCCATACTAGGAAGGCACAGAGATAGCTGTGCTTATCTTAAGAACCAGTACCAGACATCATCAATGAACATTTCTGGTTCCAAAGAGCAGAAAGAATTTAACCAGGACATATACCAGAATCACCTGGGCTTTAAAACATTAGGCCCCAGCCCAGGTCAATAAGGCAGAGACTCTGGGTCCTAGATGGGTGTATTTTTAGTAAGCTACCCAGGAAAGTCCAGATACAGCATAGTGTTGGGGCCATCCCAGGTATCAATCATGAGGAAGAAGTGGGTCTTGACACAGGAAAGTGGGTGAATAGTTAATGCACATAGGCTTGGATGTCAAATATGCTATTTATTATCATCATCAGTCATCTTCATCTTCATCATCACCTCCAACACTTGGAATCCTTGGATAACAGAGACAGGAGTGGAGGACATCGCCTAGAGGCAAGTAGGGGCCAGGAGGGAGGCACACATATAAGCCTAGAGCATCAGGTTTTCCAGTTTCAGACCATTCCTAGGAGCTGGGCATCTACCAGAGGAAGAGCAGGATTCTGAGTTAAAAGTCCGGGCAGGAGGTCCAACCAGCCTTCCCTGAATGATGGTCCTTGCTGCACGATGTCACCAACCTGCAACAAGTAAATGTGCTTTATGAGGGAAAATGACAGTTCCATTATGGTCCTGGTAGGCAGATGGAGGAGGACGCTCTGAGAGTACTAGGAGAAAAGCAGTCGGGTCTGTGCCCTTTAAGCCCTTCTGCCTGGCTGAGGACTGGCCCCAAATGTCCCAAGAGAGCCTATTCCACAGTGAATGGAGACCTTTTGGGGCTGGCTGGCTCAGAGCTGGCTCAGTCCCCTCATTTAAAGAGCTAGGCCTTTTTTCATAATACTCCGAGGACCCTCACCTCCAAGGGATCCCTTACATCCTCCAAGGTCACAAGCTGCAGCAATTAATAGCACCATGCAGGCTACCTCCCTCACTAGACTGTAGCCTGAGATCTGGGGTCATGTCTTATTTATCCTTGGCACCCATCCCAGAGCAGGCACATCGTGGGTACTCAATCAAGGTGGAATTAAATTTATCAACATTGGAGTCAAGAGAGAGCTTTCAGGAGGTGTAGCACCAAGGCAGGAATGTCCTCCAATCACCCCAAGTGCTTCTGGTGACACCAAATTTTTAGTCCTCGGAGCACCCCTGCCACCCTAGGGTGAGTCTTCCCTGCAAACAAAATGTCCCTGTCCCAAGTCTCACTTACTGGTCTGCACATTTCCCTATGAGGCCACACAGAATAACCTACCCTGGCCTCCTAAGACAGCTATGCAGGCCGGGCGTGGTGGTGTACACCTGTAATCCCAGCACTCAGGAGGCTGAGGCAGGAGGATCGCTGTGAGTTTGAGACCAGCCTGGGCTACTCAGTGAGTTTCAGAGCAGTCTGAACTACATAGTGAGACCCTGTCTCAAAAAACCAAAGAAAAACCACACACACACACACACACACACACACACACACACACACACACACACACACAAAAGACAGCCATGCAGGAGATGGCCACTCCCTGCCAGCCAGTTTTCTATATGTCTAGCCCGATGTGGCAGTCATCAGGCCACATGGAACACAGCTGTCAGAAGCCTCTGCTTGGGAATCAGCCAACCCTGGGTTCAGACCTTGGTGCAGTTGGTCAGTAGTCACTGAAAAGCATGATATCAAACTCAGCACTCAAGCCAACCTCACAAAAGGCCAGGCACCGGTGGCCTGCAGGTGAAATGATATGTTGATGAAGCCTCTTTGATTATAACAAATGTACTGCTCTGGTGTGGAACTGATGACGGTGGGGAAAGCTGTATGTGAGAGCAGGGAGTCTCTGGGAAATCTCTGTACCTTTCACCAGTCTCACTGTGAACCTAAAATTACTCTAAGAA